CCCGAGACCTTACCATAAAGAGCTATCTTACTGTTATTCCAAGTTGACCCATAGGATACTTCCACCGTCTTACATGAAATATAAATGTTGATTCAATGAATGGTTCCAAGTGGAAGCAGCACTTGGCCACTGATACATACAAAACACGAAAGCCGAGTGACAAAATGCTAAAGATGAAACGAGGGGGGTAAATTTAGGAACTGGGGTTGATTGAGTAAGTTGTCTTTGCGATCTAACCATACCTAGTGGGGCCTCTATTCACCGGTTGAGTGGGTCTTGAGCATTCACTTCGTCGGCAACGCTGATAACAGAAGTGACACCGTCAGGAGGTCAGATTCCCGGAAATATTCCGAGAATGCTCGACACCTACTGAAACACTCAAACCCCATCAAGAACGCAGTGGGGAGGGCGTCATGCACCCAGGCCGGAAAACACAGCTTCAGACCGAACGCTCAAGCAACCAATCAATTTGGCAACGGCCGGCGAGTGTTCAGGCATTCGCTGGTTCGCAGTAAGGCCATTATGTCCCTTATAAGGCGAGTCTTTCTTCGACACTACGGCACTGGGGCGGGAACAACTGTAAAATACAACAGACAATTTGGTAGCTTCCAAAGTTTGACATGCAATGAATAAACTGTGTGGTATATTCGGTCAATATTGAAGAACGGTCTGGAACATTGATGTCACAAAGCCCACACCGAGACCAGTGGTTATGGCAATGTGTATTATTTGGCGTATTCAGTATTTCGAGAGTTCGAACCAAGCAGCACGATGTCATCCACGTGTTCTAAGCCAAGGAGAGTTTCTCAGGGAAGTGGCGAGATTCCTGAGACAATAGACAGTTAAAGCCATTCCTCCTTGATAATTTCGATAGAAAAGTTAAAGGGAACCGGCAAGAGGACATCCCTACCGCAGACCATAAGAAGTCCACGGATGTTGGAGTATAGTGAACGGAGAGGTGAACCGAAGATTAAGGGAATATCTTTTTAGTTGGATGGCACCGTAAGACATGGTAACAAGCCAATCAAACACTGCTGTTAGATCTCAGTAACCGCCCGTGATCCTATCCGATACACCAAAAAGACGCATGAAGGCTTCAGATGAACTAAAGATCACCAGAACACCAGTATATTGAAGCCATACAAGGGATCCGGCGCTCTATTCCTAATCAAAGCGGTTTACAGTCAGAAACGACCGCAGTTCTAACAAGTCTTACTTCCAGGGGATCAACTATAGGCAAGTTGGTGGTGTCACCATGGGAAATCCTGTGACACTCACCCTAGCAGTCATCAGAAGCCGGCATACGACAGGTACCGCGTTATAAAAGATAAATGATAGTTAACCCACCAGTGAGAGTTGGACATCTGATTTCCGTTTGTAAGGGGCGAGATGGACCAAGTGGTTAGAGCGCGAATTTACTGACCGGAAGGTCCGTGGTTCGAACCCGACTTCTGCCTCTCGACTTCCCCTGTCTAGGCTTGGGCGACCTGACAGCATCCCAGCCCTCGTCCTCACTCGTGTGGCATGGTAGCTAGGCACCGAAAGGGTGCTACAGCTGGACGGTCTATTTTTTTTCTCCGTTTGTGACAATCCCTACCAGAAAATTTTTATTACATGCAAAGCTGAGCTGGACAAAAAACTTCCGTTTCCTGACGTTTTGGCCTCCAGAAATACGAATAGTACGTCTTGCTCTGTATATCGGAAACCTACGTGGACTGCACAATACGTGAAATTAATAGGATTCTGTCCGGTGTAGTACCCATGCCGTCGGTTCTGCTTTACTCAATGAGGCTAGACAGATTTATCTTTGTCAGCATCTGTACTGCCTTTGTTGGGGCATGCGTGAAAACCCCGAGCAGTTTACTAGTTTTGCTCTCTATTGATGGACTTTGGTGATTCCGTCTGGTCACAAAGCGCACAATCTACTGTTCGCAGGAATCCATTCAAATACAACGTCTTCGAGATCAGAACGACTCCTACGTCGTGGACTTGGCTTCAGAAGCACGGGATATTCGAAGAATCAATTGCGAACAATTGGATCTTGTGAGTGTTTAGGGGTGCATAACCATGCCGGGGTCTTGTATGGGCTTTGACACAAAGCAGGAGCAATTTCTCTAGGATGATAGAAAATTTGTGAGGGAAGTCTCTTGAAAAATCTGGCAAAGAGAACTGATAACCAGTTCAAATATGTGGAACAGGTAACATATTCAAAATGACCTGCATATCTGAGGGATATGACCCAAGGAAAGCACTATGTGCAACGTACTCAATGTTTGTGAGCGAGCATCACGAGAGCATTTCAAAGGGACAACAGTTCACCGTCACCATGCTCTCACAATAAGTCATGTATCATGTGGTAACAAAATTATTAGAAGGAACAGCCAAAACAAAGTAAGATCGACATAGACCGGTGCGTGCGAAACAGTTACTCTGAAAACCAAACGCCGAGAAGGATGTACACTTACTTCAACATATTGACATGCGCCCATCGTCTATCAATCCTCTACAAAGTTAAAAAAAATGAAATAACTGAACAATTGCTAAATACAAGACATGACAAGCTGTTGAGAGCCGAAATAGTCACAATGTATGGGAAAATGGACAATACATCGACGTCAGCAAAGCACGCTGGAGATTTGAAGCTGACTAGGAACACCTATGGACCAACGAACCCGAGAGACGTGATGGCCAAACACTTGAAAAACATAGAAATTCTCCGCTTTCTGATGCACCATTGTCGAAATAACTGATCGCCCTGTACCTCATGTAAGAGAAATCGATCGCTAACAACGGAATTATCAGCAAGGCGTCAAAATACAACCTACAAAGGGTCGGAGTCGATGAATTGATTTTGCTAATCACACGCAAATGGGAAAAGCCATGGAATGATGGGCTGAAGAAAGCATAGACAAACTAGATTGACGGGGCTTGGTAACTCAGTCGGCAGAGCACCAGCACGATGAGCGGAGGGTCGGCGGTTCGGGTCTGTTCCAGGACGTGCCTTTCTGTTCACGCCATACAAACTTGGACTTCTCAGTAGTACGGTGGACAATCTACGCCGCTACACAGTAGTTGCAGGACAAAATACCACAAAGGTGCAAATGTGCCTGTGCGACCTCGGCGACAATAAGATCGGACAGTACACTGCAAAGACCGGGTTTTAACTACCTTGTCGAACGGAAAAGCGTAAATTCAAGGATGGACTGACAGCATCAGACACGCCTCAATGGTGCTGAACTGTACCATGAAAAAATAAGACTACGCAAAATAACCTCGATTCTTCAGCGTAGTGCAGTTCAACCACTTCTACATCAAACCTGCGAGCGTCACCTCTGTGGGCACGGGACATCCGGAAGGAGGTTTGGACGCTGATGTCTTTAACAAGTACTGAAATTGTCTATTGAAAATATCCCGAAGGTTTGTCATGACCTACCATACAAACAAACGAACTTCATCCCTTGAAATAGGATGTGGTGCAAAGCAACGAGTTTGTTGGCTAGCTGAAATTCAGCAACAATTTTTACTGAAGGATTCATTATATCATGTTGGTTCAGCTGAATATGACAGATGCGACTGTGAGTTTCATGGACCAGCAACCGTGTAGCAAGCAGCTAGATAGACAGCAATCAAAACAAGACGCAAACAAGATGCAATGATGAAGGAGAAAGGGTGGACGGGAAAACTCAAAGGACCGAAACTTACTTGAACCACAGCTTCGACGATAGGAGGGACCAAGGGAACGACTGCCGTGCTGAGGTAATGCGTTGGACAACCCCGAATAAACGGACGAACCACGAGACCTGTATGCTTGAGTAAAGGAGTGATAGCTCGTGCTTATGACCAGTCTTCTGTGGATAAAATATCCACACAATAACAAGTCTGCGTGAATTCGCTTGAATCAGATAGAAGATACCTGTGCTAATGGATCAATCGTTGGGCCTTACCCCTTGTGAATGTTACGCGCAGCTAAACAATCATATACAAGAGTTGTGAGGTGTAACACACAATGTGAACACCCGCCTATGACTAGATCTTTGCAATGTGCCACAAATACTATGATAATTGTACAGAGTGACACTGATATACCGGTTTTTAATATTCATTAAGGGAGTCGGATATCAGGCATCTTTCATGATCGCACGCCTGGACAAATCCCTGAAAAGTGCAGCAGACAACCTAAACGCTAAGCAGGGGCCGAAAACAAGATGAAACGGTATGAAATAATCAAATCCTCGGTATCCGATCTTCCAATCGCCAGTTTATCCCTGTGTCTTAATTGGACCCTGCTTCCTTAGGATTAAAAGGCTCGGGTGAATTTCAGGGCAAGCGGCTGTAATCCTCTCACTGAAGCCAACGTATGTGTGGTCCAGGGATATGAAACTATTCGGTTGTTGCTGTTCAAAAAATGCAAATTATTTTATAACTTTGTGCTGCAGTTTATACGTGAACCAGCACTAAATAAGTAAGTGGCCAACGGTACCGACAGAGTCAATATTCTCATATGAGAATGGAAAGGTGGTAAAAAACGCGGCGGCCCCCGACAGGCGACCCCATATAAAGGGATACCCAGTAAAATCAATTACAGGCTAAACTATAGCTCGAAAGTAATGCAGGTCCCGGAAAGATTGTACACACTGTCAGAAAATAGACAGGGATAAGCGCCAAAGGATACGTAATAAACTGTTCAGCTTCAAATCTGGTATATGATCGAACGAGCCACAACAACCTATGTGCAGGATTGTGGCAAGCTGATCAGCCGGGAGTTGATACAGCTTAGGAGCCAGACCGGTGAACAATAGCCCGACAATCGTTAACAAGTTTTCGTGGACCTCGAAGAGGCATGACCGGATCCGTTCGAGGGAAGATTTCTCCTCGGAGGCAGGTTGCTGAATGTGGAAAGAGAGAGGAAAAGTGATGATGGTGTACCATAAACATATTTGGGAAAACGTTTCGTCTACGCACTCGCAGGTTGGGTCTGATTCGGCGTACTAGTGAAGAGTGACGAGAAAATTCATCACGGGACACAGCTGCATTACTGCCACCACCGAGAAGGAATGATCTATGGCGCCTTGTCTACTACCCATTACGCTGGAGCTTCACCAGTGTCACCATATTTTATTTAAATGTTGTGGGGGAAAAAGACTAAAATTGGAAAATGTGACCTGGTGAAAGGCCGCTTCAAGAACCCCGAAGTGCCTCCGCTTACTCATGATTTGCGTCGAAACTGACAACACCATCAGTAACGGTTAGCAGTATCACCGGACAAACCCAGGGAGGGTCATTCGGACGTTGTTCCCGAAGGCAGATCACACCGATAATTCATTACAGCTTTCGTTCCCTTCCACAAGATTATAGGGTGCTGGTGGTGAGTTTCTTCTCCCATGAATCTGAAACTTCCAGGACAAGCAAAACGCTGTACAACCCAAGCGCTCCACACTGGATCACAAGTGGTGTGAAAAACATGGACTTGTAGTTTTTGGGTGCTACGGACAGAAACACAAGACCTTGGTGCGTTTTGTGCTTTCTGCTCCTCTTCACAGACGAGAACCCTGTCGTCCTCATACGTTTTTTCGATAAGGTTTGTGCCGGAAAAATGATTCCGAAGACAGCCCAACATTCGTCTCATAATGTCTGATTGACGTAGAGGTTAGTCTGAAACGTTTATGGAGTCTGGCGTGATCTAAATTTTCCTATTTGTATAAAAATTCAGTATTTCGTAAAATGTGTAAAACGAAGACAATTGATTTGAATAGTGCCCTTACAAGAATAGTGCATTTTGTTGTTTCAGGTCAGTTTGACCGGAACTAAAAAAACATTCGCTGCATCGATCTCATGTAGTGCTTTATCGAATAGTACGTTTAGTGTGAAAATGTTGGCATTTCTGTGGTTTGGTCTAGCTGGATCCAGATGTACGGTCGGTTGTGAATTCAACCGTAAGACAATTTCGCGAGCGCATTGATGCTCTACAACGGACTACGTATATTCTTGTAGATGTCTGTATTACCGTTTCACTGAGTCGATTAATCATACGTGGGTGAATCCTATGAAACTCATGGGTTGTGCATAACCGCAGTGTACTGTTGACAAGTGACACCGAGTGGTATTCGAATGAAATGACCGAAAATCGGAATTGGAGGATTGGAGCGAAAAGAAACACGGCGGCATATGGTTATCTTCTTATGTCGCTCTCCGCGTGATACTTCCAAAGATGACAACGCTCTAACCTACGAGGTACTGTGGTGGGATAGGAAGGTCGTTTCAGTACAAACCGAGCAGAGCGGAGCAAGAAGAGCATAATCTATTCAACAGAACTCAAAATGGTATGACAGAAAACCATATGACTGTCGGTATTGATGAAATCGAGTAGACCGATGATATTTCCATACTCCGTGAAAACGTAGAGCTACCGAGTATTCCTGATTAATGCGGCTACCAGGCGGGACTCGTCGAACAAAAAAAGAACACAATAAAACTCTTCTCAACGAAAGGAGGTATTAACCAAATAATCCTTCGCACGAAAAGTGAGCGCGTCACTTTATTTTGGCAATTGGATTCTGCAATTCGTAAGACCAAGCTAAAGGGTGTCTAGGAGAGTGAGCCCAAGAGCCTACGAGTGCCCATGGTTTGTAGGTTCCAAATAGAAAATGATATTAGAATTCACATGAGTGCTCTAAAAGACTCTATGGTCAATGCATGATACACGCCACCAGTAATTCATACCGATGTCATCGACGCGGGTTCGTGGCTGGTCCATGGTTGGATGGCACTAGGTAGTAGGATCTTCTCGAGTAGTACTGCGAGAAAACGGGTTGCGGTCATACGGGACTGCATAATTCGTTCGTCACTGTTCAAATGTCGACCATCTGGATGAATCTGCTTGCGTGAATTATGGCTGCATGTAAGCTGAGGTGACACCACGGCGGGCACTCCTAGGTATGATGACAATAAGAGCCTAAAAGCAAGGCACTATGTAAAAAAAGCTTGTCCAGCGGACAGTGCGGTGTCACTTCGGCCACAGAGGAACAAGCCACCACACATGATTAAGTAACTAACCTGTAAAACTATGCAACTGTCTTTGTCGGGTCAAAATTCATTGATTAACCTTACATGAGTTCCGTGGGTTTCACAAGGACAGCTCAAAGAAACTGGAGGAGTTATGAAGATTCACAAACCACCGTGCCACAAGTGGGTCTGGTCTTTTGGCGACGCAAAACGGCGCTTAGGTCGGCAACTATCCTCCATGTTTTTGTGACCGCAATCCATCATGATGAGCACTGTTCAACAGAAGGCTCGGGTGAGATAATCATTCGCGCTGTACGGACTACGGATTGCTTTCCCTCAATCCAGGCTAAAACCACTTCAGAATGATACTTAACGGGATCTCATCATCATCGTCACCATCGAAAGCATGATATCAGAGTTTAACACTGATGCCTCGCTGCCGTATAACGATATTTAGTTGTGACGAGGTCCCTTAGGTCTTGTGGGATTACACTGTACAAAGTATCAGAGTGGTAAATCCGTAATCCTAAACACCTGTGTATATTCCTCATACGAGCATTGAATGGTAAATTACAGAGCGCCGTACGAGCATGACTTCCGTAAGCGAAAATACCCATGAACTGGAAGAAACATGAGTGCGGGTTTCGGTCGACGTGTTTGGACAAAAGCATGGATTGTCATGGCCCTATTTATAGCGAAGGGATACCGCTGGAAAAACGGGCCTCAAGAAGCTCAATGAAACGGAATGAACGAAATGGGAAGATTGCCAAGGGTCCGGAAGCCATTACCTAATTCGGCAAACTTATCACTGACCTGTTCTGTGATGCCGACTTGTAGAGACAAAAGAGTGAATTTGACGTGTTCCGTCAGCTCGAAAGCAGGTAGGACCGTTGGGTGAACTCGTGCAAGGTTTTCAGGAAGCCAAAGTTCGTTAAACGCCCTGAAAACAAGAAATCTGTGCATAGTTAGCAAGCCAGAAGTATGTGCCACACGGCTTCAGTGTGCGGTTGACATAGCTCGGTGATTATCTCAGGATGATCTAAATACGAATCAAAGCACGCCCTGACTGTGCAAAGAAACGCCTAAAAATGCCTGGAATAGGCTACACTTGGGGTTCCACACATCGCTCTGTGATAAGACAGTACTTTAGATGCATTAGGAGCGCGATAATTGACAGTTTATCACGAAAGAATTCAGCACAAGTTAATGTGTCACTCGAAGGAAGTTGCCCAGGGGTAAGGTGACCAGCGGCCGATTTTCCTCCCGAGTGAAGGTCAGTCTGAATCAGTGTCGGTAGATACCTCATAGATAAGTGATTACCGATAGGCTCGTTTGTGCACGTAGGCTTGTGCTCTAGTCGCACGCTTCTAATTGTGCTAAACTCTATGCAGTTGTATTTTGATCCTGTGATCTGCACGCAAATTTCTGCTATTCATGCGTGTATTCAGTGCACTTATCTACCAATGGATCATGTCCACTAAGGTACGTCTCCCCATGAGGAAACCGTTTAGGTGGAAAGGAAACATCCCCAGCACTGGACAGAAACAGATCCCTAATTCTCCAAATGGCCAAGAAACAACACACCAAAAAGTTAACGACATAAACACTGTCGATGTGCCGTCCCTCCTAACATCAATGGGTGCTTCTTCATTGGAAATAACCTAGCTTGGCAAATAAGTTAGCTCAATTAGCACACACAATGTCATTTTTCGACTTATATCAGAGCAATCTGAACTAAACGTAAGCGGTCGGAAGCTTAAGATGAAACGAAGCCCGAAAACCCGTTGGGGTCCCAATTAAAACTACAGTTTTTGGCATACTATTAGAATTCATTCTCGTGACGCAGTATGCCGTTTTCAGATACTTGCTCAAATTCAGCTGGGTAACATCACATGATAGCCCTTACATGAGGTCAGGACGATGCATCTGTGCGAATGCAATTGAGTATTAAAGAGATCCATTTCAGCTTCAAGGAAAAATAGTCGAACGTTGAAGGAACACTTCGATATTCCGCCCCAAAGTCTTCCTTGAAGTATACATCGCTGTGTAAGTCCGTCAGAGTTTGTGGGAAGTCTTTGAAATAAGGTTGCTGAAAACTCCTCGATCACATGAGTAGTGCATTACAAAAATGTATACGTATTGCGATATCTCGAATATCCCAGCAACTGAAACATGAGGCGGCCTGGTGCAGCACATTCAGTTGCCTGGAAATATCAAAACCGAGAGATTCAGCTGGGTCCCAGGTGAGTCTCTCGAAAAACCAAATTTATTTGCAAATGAGTGTATTTCGCTGGTTTTTGGGAAGTCGTTTTTCCAAAACTGTTCCTACACAATTCGCGGACCTATAAAAAGACGTATGCACTGCCAAATCACACTAGTCTAGAATGCTGTAGATGAACCAGGATTGACACCAACCCTTTCAAGTGTTCAGAATTGTATGGAACGTGTCGGGGATTCCCCGGGGAAGGGCGTGCGCGCAAAAGCAGCCAAGCTAATCACAAACCCTTATCAAAACAGCTCCAACGTGAAGAACGCAGGCAATGTGGTATCGTTCAATAGTTTGGTGAAATAAGGGAAGCATCGATTTAACGATTGGAACCTTCTTGAATTGCTGGAACAACTAAGGAAATAAAGTGCTTGTAGCTCTGTTTGACTGACTGAATTTTGGATCACCAAACGAACGGCCTGAGTGCTGCTAAACAGTGTTTCGTAAAAAGATTTGACACTAGATTGAAGTGGATACCTGACACAGTGAACTGGCCTTCCAATGGCATACAGCTGTCTCGAAGCACTTCGACTTACCGTAATACAACCAGTACGGAAGGTAGGAGCGGTTCCAGTAAAGGCACGCTGATATAGTCCAGCTGAGAAACAAGATGTACACATATAGAACAGATGGTCATGTAGGACAAGACAAAAGCAACATGTCGCCTGAACAGGAAACAAAAAACAGTCTCGGGTTCGCGCAGTCATTCAGACTAAAGATGAATAGCAGGGAATGTAGGGAGGCAGATGCAAAGTGAGAATGTTTCTATGGGGTACCAGCGAGAAGATATCACCATTGCACGAATACCAGCTTACATAAGTGCCAAGAGCTCCACAATATGGGGCAGAAATACAAACGGATTTCTCACTTAAATGAGAGACCAAGGTCACTTAGGCCATCTCGCAGCCTAGTGCATTAAGTAACGGTCGAGGTTACAACCCACCGTCCTCTTGAGAGTAACATAAGTAATTTCAATCAATATGTCAAAATGCCTCCTGATCCAGTAGACCTAATCCTCACTATGGGTACTTCCCTAATTTACACATTCGGAAGCACGCAGCTGCTTGCCTTCGTCAGCCAACGTTAAGGGTAAACGGCAGTCAGTTCGAAAGGACTATTTCAATTTCTCAAGCATCCCGTCATCTGTCGCCGCTCGTGACCTTCCCAAGGGTAGTTGTCACAATCTTCTGCAAATTCGTTTAGAAATGCATTGCCGACAGGCTTTGTTGTATTCATCAAGGACCTCTGTCACAGTCAATGCACCGTGAAACGATAAGGATACTTCAATCATTTCTTCAACGGCTCCGCCAATTATGCATTTCTGCGTTGACGAGACTGGTATAGAACTAACTATTCTGATTCCAAATAATAGAACGAATGAACGGAAGCGAAAAAATATCTCGTTAAGTCCAAACAAGTAGTTAGATTGGCAATCAATGACGATTCACACTAAGCAGACCCTAGGAGAAGCGTGACAGCGAACCGCCACATAAAAAACACCAAGGGTACACGAAATATCTATGGAGGGAATCAAGACACCTTGGTGAGTGGTTTGTAAATCAACAAATACTGGACTAAGCCTGTCACAGAAATGCCAAGATGTTAAAACTACATGAAATTTTATGCTTACCTGTTCCCGGGTAGGTGGATCTGATATACGTCTGGCCGTAGCCAAAAGGGATAACACGTTCTGGCCCAGGGTAATCCGCATCTGCACATGGGCTGACTGGGCATCCCCATGTTCAGACAGAGGAAGATCTAGCCCCAGCAGAGTAAGTAAGGCGGGGCTCCCATTTGTACAGGCATTAAATATGGGAAACAGTGGATTTGATTCTGTGTTTACACTGGACACTGGCGTGCACCAGGCACTGGTTACGTGGGCGAGCAGACGGGCTAGCAAGTCTTTCTGTACACTGACTGGATGCGGAAGACGGAAGCTAAAAGCCGAAGACAAAGAAAATGAAATGTAGGAAAGAGGGATAAGTAGTGTTCATGAGTTAGTCGACATATTGCCCACACAGTAGGAGACAGAAAAAAAGCCTTGCTGCACCAAACGTTATCGGTGTGTCAGTGGCGAATACTGAACCTTATACATCCGTCAAACCCAAGCCACACACTTGGCTATCGGATGCCCTGCAACGACCTGAGAAACTAGAATACAAAGGCCACAACTTACCAGAGTATGATTAAGGATTCCAGTAAAACGCACTTTTCGACAACACCACTGTTTGGATCCGCCCACAGGCTTGTAACTTCGTTCGCGATTGATTCGAAGTACGGCTAGACCATGGAGAACAGACAAGGCCTAATTAGTTCGACACCGAAGAGTGCACTAAATCCGCAGTTATAAACATCTTAAAATACACTCAGTTGAAAATGTTTCATCGAGGTTGACGAGAAGGGAATAACAACGTCTAAATCAGTGATAAGCGTGGTGGTGAACACTACCACGAGGGTCCAAAAGCAGTCATCATTTCAACCAGTAGATTGGATGAACTAACCTTCGAAGTATAGCGAGGAGCTATGTGAAAAAGATCAAAGTGAATTTCGAGTTCGAAAACTATCGAACATAGCATTTGCCACCCCCCCAGGGGAAACAGCTCTGAGGGTTGTTTCTTTCAAGGGGCATACTTCTTTCCCCGACAGGCGAATAACACGAATCATCGTCCCGTAATAAGGTAAGTTCACGTGTATTTGCATAATCTCAAATCCTCTTATGTTGAACAGGCACGAAGAATCGATTGACATTTCCACAGTCATGTACTTCGGCATAATTACATTCTGTTAAAATAGCAAATACGTTGCATATTTCAATGAACGTTACGGCACACTCGACGAAGATTGAGCCACAGAGGAAGACAGTCCGTATCACTGGATGAGGTGTGTTTTTGGCGTTCCGGTAAGGAAGTCATCGGGCAAACGTCGCGATAACTATTTCAAGGTAATTATTTATCGTCCAGCTGCAACGCCCTTTCTGTGTCTATCTGCCATGCTACCTGAAGGAAGCACGAGGGCTGGGATACTGCCAGGTTGCCCAAGCCTAGACAGAGGAAATCGAGAGGCAGAGGTCGGGTTCGAACCACGGACCTTCTGATCAGTAAATTCGCGCTCTGACCACTTGAGCCACCTCGACCCTTATTGCAGTGTGCGCTCATGTGAGGTCCTGATGGGTGCTTTTTGCAGAAACGTACGTAATAGAAAAACATTTCGCTACTATACAATACTTCCACCAAGGCTGTGGAGATGAGGACCCACTAGAAGTGTTTGGGTGCTGTCTAAGGTGGACAGACGGGCAACTTCAATAGAACAACTCATTGGACTTACCATTATTCGTTCCGGATTAGCACGAGTTAGTCGAAAGAATGCCGTGGCTACAGCCATGTGCATAGTCTTCACACATCTGGGTCGGCGAACAGGGTAAGCTGAGCTTGCATCGGGGTTATATCGGAAACAGGCGAAGAGCTATAACAGAAAGGTTCGGTGAAAACCAAGAGGTCCAGGATGTTAGAAGTATACTCAGATCAGAAGTGCAACTGAGAAGGTTGTTTGGAAAGGTCAATTTTCCCCAAATGACTGATTAAATAAAAGCAGACACGTTTCAAGGCAGAATGAACATGAGTTCGTAAGAGTACTTCGCGTAGACAGTGAAATAATGGATGTGTGCACATAGGTTCATTGAAGATTGAACACTAGATACCCAGTGAAAAACATTGCTAGGCCAAATTCAGCTGCATGAGATTAAAGACTGAAAATACACGATACGTCACATAGAAAATCCATAGTACAAATAACTCACCAACATCAGGAGCGGCACCAACAATTCAGCATCATATCGTGAATCGGTCTGCTGCATAAGCATCGAAGCACAAGTAGCCTGTTTCCCACGCAGTGTTGGGTCCAACATCGCGGGAGATTGAAGAAACTGTCGCAACAGGTTGGACATGGCATGATCAAACTGGTCCGTTTGTCCACATGCAACGAATCCCTCTTTCAAGGGTGATAACGTGTGTTCATACAGGAGCTCCAGCGTGTCCCAATCGTACACAATGGGTGAGTCCAGAGGAAGGTACTTGCCAAGATCAGTCAACTCTATCGGTAAACAGTACAGATGGGTCAAATGTGGACTGTGTATGCGCCTTCATGTCAAGCAGTTTAATATGTAAGAATTCAATCATGGAGTTTTGTCCCACTACTAACAAAGCGGTGAGTGCCACTTCCTCTCCTACTGAAGTTCATTAGTACTGCGTCCGATTAAATTCGACCTACAGGGAACACATTCTCCATGACCACAAAATTCAGAAACTTTACACAGGGTTGCCAAAGGAAATCGTAGATGATTCCGTGCATGCGGTCCAACCACAAATAGGTCGACCACGATCGGTCTAGCAATGAGGAGGTGTACATGAAACCTCATTTAGCGCTTCTCAAGAGCAGAAAGTCAATCGGAGATTTCTACATCGAATTGGGGCGAGATGGCACAAGTGGGTAGAGCGTGAATTTCTAATCGGAAAAACTTTACACAGGGTTGCCAAAGGAAATCGTAGATGATTCCGTGCATGCGGTCCAACCACAAATAGGTCGACCACGATCGGTCTAGCAATGAGGAGGTGTACATGAAACCTCATTTAGCGCTTCTCAAGAGCAGAAAGTCAATCGGAGATTTCTACATCGAATTGGGGCGAGATGGCACAAGTGGGTAGAGCGTGAATTTACTAATCGGAAGGTCCGTGGTTCGAGCCGAACTCCGTCTCTCGATTTCCCCTGTCTAGGCTTGGGCAACCTGGCAGTATCTCATCCCTCGTGCTTCCTTCGGGTTGCATGGCAGCTGGGCACCGAAGGAGTGTTACAGCTGAACGTTGCAACGTCTAACTGTATCCATGAAATGTACAAACGGCCATTCGGTTTCAAGCACTACAAATAGTTTCCTTTCAAAGTTGTCCGAAAGTCTGCAACGTTAGCAGAGCCCGATAATCACATGCGGATAATTGGGGATGATGAACAGTACTTACCCAATGCAAAAAGGGAAATGGGCTTCTTTTAGCGAAGTGACCTCATCGTGAGGACCAAGCACTGTGTTGTAGTTGAAAAGACCATCGTTGTGGGTTCTAAGTAGTAGCGATCGATCTTGAGGGAGGAGATAATCTAGCCACGTTTGGGGAACAATGAACCAGACGATGCTGACATCTGATGTGTTTAAACAAATTGTGTGGATTCTGACAGTTCATCCAAAGAAACTAGCGTACGTTTCTCTGTCTGTACTTTTCAATCCAAAATTCGTCACACAGCAGGGGAGTAATACAGCAGCAAGCGGGTAATCAAGACATGCGTGCATTTCATATCAGTTTACGGGATCTGATACCATTTGACCACGGAAGTCATGATACGCTTGGTTCGCTGTGTCAACGAGGACCGCAACTATCCGACCGTGTTGAACTATGAATGATGCTGCTGAGTACGAAAAACACTAAGATGTGATAAAACGAAGCGTTGCATGAGGTCTCGTCATTATTTAGCCTGCAGTTTTATTAAGCACTATATTGGACTGTCAATATTATGTGAAAAAAAGAACGAGATGAATAAGTCAAACGTTTTGGATAATGATTTGTACGGTGTCCTATTTTTCATCGTATATAAGCTGGGACTGCAACCGGGTGTAGCATAAAACCCTGTAGGGTCGTGCAAATGTGGCATCTTCCGGGCAAGTGTTTCTATGCAATCTAAAAGCAGTAGGCTGGCTGAGGTATCACCAAGATGGTCGTTGGTTTGTTCGCTGAGCTGGGCACTACGCCAAAGCCTAAACAAGAGTTATCAGAAAGCCAGAGTTGGGTTCGTAGCACAACAGCAGCTCGCGCCTGGATCACTCAGCTATTGACGGTTCATAAATTGAGCACCGTGAAGAGTAATTTTTCAATTCCCTTGCAAGAGGACTACCTTACCACCTTCATTCCAGAGGCAGAGGTCGGGTAGTTCGAACCACCCGATTTTATTTTCATTTCAGAGAAGCGACTGTTTTGTGTGGTGACATGGTGATTCCTGTTTAACGCGATCGGTGACTTATTAATTCTCATCAATGAAGGGACAGGTATATGATTCTCAATGACGATTCTTGTGCAACCTGAGGGTTTCAGTTGACCCAACCAAGGGGTTATAGCTGCGATATAGTCAATTTGAGGTAGCAACGGTGTCAAAGAGAATGGACACTGAGTTGTGGACCAGTCACATTGAGGGAAGCCTGTAGGCGTAGGCATATACAGTCGTTTACACATAAACTTAACAGCCATTCACACAATTAAACCGTTCATCATATAAGAACACGAATTCATAGGGAAGGATAAACCCTAAAATAGGGAGAATGAATTATTCGTCCCTGGGGCTCTTTGGAGAATATTGTGTAGGGCTGGAAAAATATACTCTTGAATGTACCGAAGCTTCGGTTTGTTGATGCGTGTGTACACAGAATAAAAAAACACCTTTATCCGTTTCGCCGCTTGCCAGTTAGAAAGAAACTACTATCCCCATGAAAGCCTATAATCGCCAGGAGTTCAGTCTAGAAACAGAGTGGGTGACATCACTGGGAAGTATACAGTGACCCACGTGATGTACGATAATGCCTCAAGGTATCTAGATGGCCGCACGTGGTACGCTTTGTTGGTGTGAATCAAAAAGGATACGATTTTCCCGAAGGTAGAATTTCTCCTTTGTGAGGGTGTCGAGTTTGGTGGCCTGATATGCACTCATTAAATATGGTTTATTTTAGGGGTTTGTGAGGGCAAAGAGAGCCAGAAGATTTTTCAAACATATCGATATCTCTTAGTGATGTCAACGAGATGCATTCCCAGCTTGCACAAGTTTAGATCGGCAACAACATTCGACAAATGAACCAGATGAGTGGTGGGACAGAGCGAGCGTAGATGGCAGAAGTATGATTGGGTACGGGGACTAATCGGGGATTGCGCACGTCACTTAATGGTGCATGTAATGTTCGGATGCACAAGGCGAACCCAGAGGTTTTCTTAGCGAGGCCGGTGTATCCCACGACCTAGTCATGTCTAAGACTAGATAAGGCAAGTCCAGTAAGCGTTAACTAGTTCGGTAAGTTGCGTATTCGCTGCGCTACGAACATTCTTATTCATCTGAACGACTCAAAAAGTCAAAGTGGGTACACGTTTGAGTACAGACATGGTAAGTTCCCTTGAGTAGTTTGACCGAGTGAATGAGATGTGATTGATGGGATTTTGGGACTTAGTAGAATACTTGGAAGTGTCACCGAATATGAAATGTTCGGAAAAACCGCTCCTGATGCAACATGGCAAGTTGATTTCTGACGCACTTTAGCGACAATCGACATGTACTTCAGAGACTACAGAAAATGAAGCAACAACCTGAGCACAGAGTGTTATTCCCGTAGATCCTCCCATTATTCTTAAGTTTTGAATTTCAAAAGTGAGACAAGAACTCCACAAGAACAGTCAAGACAGCAGTTAAAGATTTTGCTCATGGTCGGGAGACCAGGGACCAGAGATGTTGTTTAATTTACATCAACGCTGATCCGGAAGCCCTTGAAATTATTTACCATGCAGTGGTCACCTCGATAGAATCAATGTACCCGAATCGAATGCAGCTGAATTATGGACCATTTCATCGTCCACAATCTTTGTATTAGGGGGTTAAAATGAGGTTTTGAAAGAGGGTATGGGAGAATGCTGGAGCTACAAAATAGTGCTTATGGTGTTTGTCTAAACGATACAAAGATACCCACACCAAATCTCGTTATCCATTGAAGTAAGCGAGTTTGAGTCTACATTGTGCCTTCACAAAGTCTTGTCGCATTCAAAAGTTATACTGAGACAGAAATTCTCAACAGGGTTTCTGACTCGAAGTCCTAGTGTTCACAGGGCAATCAACCGGTGTATGGTGATTTAGGGTTTCACAAGAAGATTTGAGTGTTCACTCTCACGGTATGGATTCGCCATAAATTGGAAGTCACAATTTCAACTTAGAGGACGAAGTTTTGGCTGAATGGCGGATACTATGCTTATCTTAGGTGAAAATTGAAACAGTAACCATATAAAAACCTGACGTGAACTTTTTTCTTTCGTTCAAGTGTAACATTCTTTCGGTGCCTAGCTGCCATGCCACCCGAAGGAAGCACAAAGGCTGGGATACTACCAAGTTGCTCAAGCCTAGACAGGAGAAGTCGAGATACAGAGATAGGGTTCGAACCCAGGACATTTCGGTAGGTAAATTCGCGCACTAATCACTGAGCCATCTCGCCATTAAATGAACCAGGATGAAGTGTATTCGATCGTCGGTAATATACACCCTTACCAGACTTGAAAACATTATATTTGTAAAGATACCCAGCTTACCTGTGACTGGAATGTCCTTTTTTAGAAGAGCATCAGTGAGCGAAGTGAGCGCCTGTAGAAAGTCCAAAGGCCATTTTGAAGCCGAAAGGCTCAAGCAGCGGAGGACTTCCGTGCGGTATTCTGGGAGGAGCGAATATGAAGTGAGATAGAGTATTGAAGCAAGATTTGCATTACGAGACGCATGTGATCATAGCGTGATTATAGTAGACTGGGTGCTTCTTAAAATCTCTGCACAAAAGGTCTCTTCTAGATCGGAAGTTCCAACCTGGCTAAATAAAGTATCAAAAGTTGAATTTCACCACCTTGGATCCTTCTACTTTGTGCAGAGAGATTGTAAAACGTGAAAACACCTCCGATAATTTCACACAGCAGCTACAATTAACGCCGTAAAAAGGGAGCACAAAAGTCCGTTGTCAGACTAAAATACTACAGATAAGGTTACCAAACAAAGACTTACTTGAAAAGAAGCTCACATATTCTTCCGACCCGAATACTCCGCGAGTCCACTCGCTGTGGACACCCGAGCCCGATGGAGCACCATCCTGTAAAAGACGGTGGGATCATTTTGGTACTGAGATTGTGAGAGGCATGAGAAACCTTTTGATGACTATTAACGGCGTGCAAAGCGAAAAGCTTTTGGTCATTCAGTGCCGAAAAGCCAAGAAGCACTGTACATCTGTTTAATCCTTTTTGGGAATAATTAGCAGTGCACATCTCATGAAACTCCGTGGAACTTCGGTCCCGCCGCCTGCCAGCTAATAGTCCAAGTATTAAATCGTTCGGCTACGAGCGGGTAATCAAAAGTGAGGCTAACTCGCACTCACACTATATAGTACCACTCATCTGTCGAGGATGGGAATCGCACTACGTGGTTACATGTACACTGGCTCCTCGAGTGACAACTTCTCAGATTTATCCTTCACGAAACTTGGGAATTATCCCTCTTTTCAGAGATACTTGCAGTCTGTTGGCAGTGTGAGGAGACGTGGAGAGTTAATCGTACAGGTGAAAACTCTATGCCGAAAAGCCAACAAGCAATGTACAGTTGTGTAATCCTTATTATCAGTCACCTCATGAAACTTCAGGATTTTCTAAAGCCCCCTATACTACTCGATTTGTTACCTCGCTTATTAGTGGCGGTGAACACAAAGCCTGACTACTTAGCATAAGATAAACGGTTAGCCACGTGAATTGTGTGTACTGTAGCCAACAGTGAGAAGTTAGATTGACGGATCAGCTTCCTTACTCCAGCCAGTATTGGAAAAACGTCGAAGTTTTGGTGTATTAAATCTCATGATGAAGTCTCAAATGTGCGACTGTTAGTCCCGCAGCATCATGAACAAACGGAAGCTTATGTCGGCACACCAATTAGCTCAGTCAAACAAAGAAAGGCCTTACAGGAGAGTGTCCGGCTAATGGGGATCAATAAGGCACTTTGAAAAAATAGCACAAATTTCAAGGATGCGAGATTTTATGTCAAGACCTTCCAGTGACGAAGAATTCTGAACACGGATCTGACGAATCACAAACAGAGGGAAGAGCAATAACTTTGTTTAATTCAATGAGCTTTTGCGAAAAGTGATATTGTGTTCCGAAGCATCGTTTCAGTTTAAGTCATGAGAGAATCCAATCACAAATAAGCGCGAGTACAACAGGACCCATTGAACACAAACAAAATTAACCAATTGTAGCAGAGCCGAAATAGTGACATCTCAAGTGGGTTTTTTCAACTGCAGATACCGTTCACCGAGCCCGAGAATTGACCCACAAACGTCTCGCCACCAGCCAAAGAGAAATGGTCCGTGCGCGTGAGTGAAAGCTGATGACGAGGTGTCTTTATGTCATGTTCGGGAACGACAACTGATCGATTTTTCCTATAAAAAACAACCCTTTCGATTGAAAAGACATTCACTGATACGGAAGGACAGGTTTCGTCACTGGGATATACCCCCAAGAGGCGCCTACATGGAATGGATCACTCAGGCGGTACAAACTGCGTTTCCAACCGGGTGTCAAACACAATCTTGACTTAAATGGAGTGAACCGCTGCCTACTTGAAACTTTAGAGTAGTTCGACGAAAATGCGTGTAGGGGTGAGCCGTGTCCGCAGTAAGTGATTCTGCACCAGCCATAAGCGTCCGGAAATTCCGGAACATCTAGGATGAGGAACCGGTCATTATCCTCAATCCTGACATGAGTTGAGCGTGAATTAGTGTCCCTTCCGAAGAATGATGGCAGAAAATTGCCCTTTCTGGAAAGACTACCTTGGAATCAGGCACAGTTCGAAAGCATTTTTGAAGCCACGTTAAGTTTGCGAAATGCCTTCTTGGAAGGAGCTCACCAAACAACTGTCATCGATTTTTCTACAGAAGAAGATAAAGACTGGGTATGAAGCACCGTCTGGCTCGGTACTGGAAGTCAGCCACGATCAATCTGCTTGGTCCCTCTAGGTTTGGGAGTCCTGGCAGTTTCCCAGCCTACGTCAACTATGATACAATTTAAAATACTCTCATGCCACATCGGCCGTTGTGTGACATCATCAGCCGAGCTGCTTTGCTTGCTGCATAAAACAGTGCGCGTAGGCTACTGCTGACGCCTTTCTTCTTTCTCTTTCACATACATTTTCTTCCCTCCCCACTCCACTAATAAATATCTTCTTATGAGCTTATGTATTGGGACTGACAAACCTGTTTGCCTTGCATCGGCTTTAGCCGCAAAATGTGCGCGTCGGCCTCAGGCAGCTCGAATTATGCTTCAAGCCTCGACACCCAGTGTGTCTGGCTGTTTACATTTTTCACACTCTGGAGGAGGCCGGAAAACAAGCTGCTCTTGCTCTCACATCCGACTCACTTGACATCGACATGTTTTGTATCAGAAACAAGAACACAAGATGCAAACACAGTAGTTGAGCTAACTGTTCTATCCATCTCCAGTCGCTTTCGACTGCGCATCTCCGGCGATCCACAGATCGCTCTTGCAGGATGTGCAGGAGTCGGCATAATCCTGAGTCACCAGGCTGAGGCTTGACCGCTGGGCCGAGCACTTTGAAAAAACCATTCTTCTGGCCACCTGTCACTGCTTATTCGGATTGTCGAGCTGTACTAAAACCGTGGACGATGGAAATGGAACCCCACATCGCCTCGGGGGTTTATAACGGCATATGTTCTCTGAAGCACTACCAACCTCTTCATGTATGGTACGCCTCAAGTGAGTATGCTACTGAGGTGACGGGAATGACCAAAATCCACAAATGGCTGAAAAATGAAAATCTGGCATGGCCCGCGGGGTCCGACACACAAAAAGCGCATACAGAAATTGGCGGCAGATACGTTGTTGCCTGTTAACGCCTACTATACTACAAAAGTACTGCTCATCAAAAGTTTGAGATGCCCTAGAAAATAAGGTTGTGGAATGTTGTGTGTTGTATGTATGACACCTATTCGGAGTCTCAATAGTATGACTAGGGGATTCCCAGTGGCGGGGTCTAGTATCATCCAAAAGGACGTCCACTTCACACCAGGAGATTCCTTACAACTGGATACAAAGGCCAACATCACCATCCTCAGGTAATTTATCTTTCCCGGCTCCGCGTGGAAACTTACTTCTTCCTAATAAGAGGCGAAGATGCGACAGTATTTCCAACCCCTTTTGTCACAGTAATCACACGTATGTGGGGGTTCTCGAAAAAGTAGGAGCTATTTTCTCACCCTAAACTGTGCCTTCAATGGTAATTATTCCCATTCCAGAAGGATCATTTTGCCAAAAATAATGCTCATTTAGACTTTCGACATGAAATTCCACATCACTCTTAGCAAACCTGCTGGCGCAATATAGCTAGCGAAGGCGTGTAAAGAGACGTAAAACTTAGCAGGCATTTTACAGATACCTCCTTAAGTCGATCGCTCGCAAAGTTAAAACGACATTCTGAGATAAAGTATTCTCTAGTAAGTCTGTATGTTACTTATGCCGGTAAACTTTTTTTTAAACTAAACTGGTGCTAGTTAACGAAGAAAAGCCAAGTAAGAACAACTGGACAACATCAACTTTAGGATCGGCTCAAATGTGATTGGTATCCACCCCATTTATCCGTCATAATAACACATTCTGCTTCTCGACTTTTCGGTGTAAACTGGTCTTAACTAAAGGACGAAATTTCCATGGAAATTTACCAAATCTCCTCAGAGTGCCAACTAAAACCTCCAACAATCTGAATTCATCTGCCCAATGGTTTACGAGGCAGAGTAGGCGGATCTCCGTCACACGGAGATCCGATTTCCCTTATGGAGGGAACCACATTTTTCACCGACTAGCGAGGGATTCTCAGCTCGAAATTGGAAGTCTAAGGGGGAGCTGGAAAGCGGTCTTCAAGTGCGAGGTCTTTCACTGAGGAGTTTTATGGAACTACATAAACAAAATGTTTGGGGCTGTAAACTCAGAGACCACAAGAACATGTCCGTTTTAATGAAAGGGGCATGTTGGATGTCACATGGACACTTCATATATGTGAGCACAGTAGTAGCAGTTTACAATAAGAGGACGGTAGAAACCCGTGGGGACAACCGGACCTATAGGATTCGGTAAGATGGATCATGAAAGCTTAACTACCGAACTGATATGAGATCGGACAGAACAAATAGAACATAGGAGAATCATACCCGCTTGAGAGTCTGGCGCCAAGACACCAACAGATCCCGGCAGTAAAGGTGCAGTCTGACAATCAGAGACGGATCTGAGGAACGAAGCGCGGTCAACCAAAAAAGGTTCGTGGGAGCCGATATCATCTACGGTTGGAAAAGAGACATCGGTGAGGCGTAAATTCCACATTGCAGGATACATCAAAACACCTTCCCGATGAACGGGACAGTCCGATTAATCGATTATGCCAAACTGGTGAACATAGATGACCCGATCGATTCCTATTCAGTTAAGGAAACATGATTAATCGAGAACAGAGTCATAATTAGTCACAGCAGCGACGTGACACCGATTGTAGCCTTTCTATATGTCTCCGCTCCGATGATACTTGGTGACCACCTTGACAAGCTGCCTGTCGTGCGCACCACTGATCAGAGAAAAGCTACACGTTCATACAGGCATGACCAGATCGGCAAGTATGGATCGGCCTCTCAACTAATCCACGGATTCGACTAATCACGTGCCAACCTCAAAATGCTACGGGCATTTTTGAGATGGCATTGGGTTGCATGACGAAGCCCAAATGTCACCGCATCCAGGTAGGCCACCACCGGCACCTATTGCGATAGACATAAACAAATAAGTGCAAATCGATCGATTTTTTGGTGATTAATCAGCCGATCAGATTAGGCGGGTAACTGTGATAAAAATGCAGTGCATATCTATTCCATAGACGGTCATCAAAAATACATCTGAAGGCGAATTATGTGCACCATTCAGATCGTTCTCCCTTAAAGAAGCTGATCGTTGGGCAAAATAATGCCTAGCTGAGTTTCGCACTAGCAAACGTTCGATTTCAGTCACAAAGCGTATAACAGACCCACGCGCCGAAATACGCGCGAACGAATCACCGCAAGTGCCTCATGATCAGGAAACAGTTTACCTAGCAGACCAATGAGATGATAACTTGTGGTACGCAAGCCAATCACGTGGCAGACGAGGAAATAAACAGTTGATGAAATCACCTGTCAGACACGAAAGTACAGATAATAACGAGACATGCATAGAGCTTCCAGAAATGAGGCTGTTTGGCGCGGCAGGTTTGTGCAACACAGCAGACGTCCGTCGATGTACGGGATAGTCTGGAGTGCGGAAGATCAGCTGGAAGTTGATGGAAGCCGACAACAATCCTATGCTGATTAGTAAGAAGTTGGATCTTTGATATTACAAAAGGAACCATACAACAGGTCCAAAAAAAACCTTACGAGTTACCCAACTCGCAAAGTGAAAGATGAAAGGCCAACGGAGAGGCATTTTTCAAGAAGCATCGAAACGTGAATCCCTCGCCACTATTTTTCGGAAACCAGCATACTGAAAGAGACCGTCCCTGAAGTTCCAAAAGAGGTCACAAAACCTTTCAGGCCATAACTAGGCATTGGCGACTCCATTGATATGTACGTCAGGCTAAAACGACAGCTAGTTAGCGCTAAATGTGGCTCTGTTGCTGTGTCCTTGTATACTATCACCAGTTATGCACGCACCGGTGGTGAATGTACGGTCAAAACATTCTCAACATCTATACGCGGCTCAGCGGTCGTAATCCTCCGATTGGTTCATTCTTGGACTACACATTACTCATGCAGCAGCAACAAACGGGACAATGTGTTGCACAGAACGATAATAGCCCGATTTTCCAAAACCTTCTAGTCTTTAAACAAAAGGTATGAAGCGGAAATAGCAGAAATTATGCGAAAGGTCTCTTACTCGAATAGGATACTTGGTTAAACGCAACACCAAGTTTAATATATGTGTTGTGAGGTTGGGACAGGTAAACAGCATGGTGGACGTGCATTCGCAAGGCGTCGAACAAGTCTTGCTATCCGGCCAGCGTGCAACAAGTGCGCATCCCAAACGAGTGACGATTTCGGACAACAGAAGCAGCGTGTTGTATGTTGTTTCGGAAAACGAGGTCGGTTCGTTGAGGGTCGCACTGGAAAGAGAAGAAAATCAGAGCTGAGGTATTAGTAAACGATATGCCAAGTAGTAATTACCTCTTTGCTGTATCTATGGGTACAGGTTGCCGGTGGCAGAGGAGAAGAAAGTCGACTATAAATGGAGGCGTAGAATGATATCGTGTTGTGGTTATCTGATAGACCAACGATAATTTCTAAACAATGTCCTATTTCGCGAGAACTCCCGAGTAATCGAGATGATCAAATCTCCAAAACATTTTCTATCCGTATTCGAATACGGACAAGCACAGAATACAACTCGGGTGCTTGATCAATATATCAGACTATACATAAAGGCATTACAAAAAAGTTTGAAGAGGGCGGCGTGCTAAACTTCCGGCTTGGGCGCCCTGTTATACCCACGTATTTGGTTTCCATCGCTGATTAAGTAGGCTTCATTCAGCAAAATAAGTTTCTTTCACGGCATGTGGTGGTGAAAACCCGGTAGACTGCTTTGGAAGTGTGTAGTCTGTTGTTTGAGAAAACTTTTCCAATGAATTGTTAATTATTCATTTTCGCGGTTGGTTTCACTGACGCACATCTTTTTCTGACCAGCTGATCGAGCTAACCCATGCGGAAACCTCCCTCATTTCATCGCTATCCGACAGCGTTATCATTCCCTAGGCTAGTGAATACTTAACGTTGGCCTCCGATTATTGGTGTGTCCGTTCGGGCATTGATAAAATCTGCCGATCGTGGCAGGGCCACATCCATTCGGTAGGTTCGGACAGGTCATCTTGAAAGCTTAGATCACAGCTCCTTTCCTTGTTCTCCATTCGACCAGCGCCACTACCATTGCTTATTCTAAATATATTCCCAGTAGTTGTGATCGATGTTGTTGAGCTGCAGGAACCCTCAAGAGGATATGAGCTAGATGATGTTTTGTTAGCCTGTAGGACCCTGGAGAAAGCGAATCCGACAGAACGTATCAGGATACGAGGATGAGTGCAAAAATAAGAGGGACGTAAAAAGAAACTCATTTCTTTGGTAATTAGGTCACGAAATCAGAAACAGCTATCGATCTTCAAGTGAGGACCAATCGATTCAAAGTTCTTCCACCATATAGCATAAGTCGAAAATAATGCCGTTCTCCACTGAACTACCCAATCACACAAAACAACCATTTGGAACACTCCACACGTCACTGTGTTGTCAACTATATCGAAACCACAGCGAACGCGATTCGACTCTAGAGGATTCTGGAGTAGCCTCATCGGCCACCTGATAAATGGGGCAAATAAAACTTCCACCAGCGCACAACCCGTGGTTTTACTGTCAGCCTCATGAACTTTTTGAGCAAAAATGGTATAGAGACAAGGCATAAATCATTCTTGCCATAATGTAATGTAATGTTGTAAAACGTCTTCAATGAATAGCTGCCATTCCTCCTGAAAGAAGCACGAGAGCTTAGACACTGACAGGCTACAAAACATAGAAAGGGGCTGTATGTGGGTTTGAAGCACGGACCTTAAACACTGAACAATCCTTGTTGTTACACTTTTAAGAAAGCCTTTGGAAAGCTCTCCATTAGAATACATCTCCATAGGTCGGAAAATATCAAAAAACACGATAGATTCAAATTTCTCGGGCATTCCTACTAAAAAAAGAGTTTAGAAAAGGAAACTGGTCAATAAAGCCGACAACGTAAGAGAGCGAATAGTTGGTACGTGTGCCACTGTTTTGGCATTTAACGCAATGGGAAGATTTGACCAAATCGATAACAAACCTCGCCTGCCGTTCTTCGATCAAAACATCGCGTCTAACGCAAGAGGGCTAAGAACAAGTGAAATCAAGAGTCCCGTTACAACAGTAGTTGAGTTGGTGACTAGTACATCTATTGCTAACCCATTTTCAGTATAGGCACCATTGTGGATTCGCCACATTGTCTCCCAGAGAAAAGTAAGCAAGTCGAGCACTGACGGAAGACTTCACACCACTCAGTGCTTGAACAAGGCGGCCGATGGTTGGCCACACCAGAAGCTTTGTGGGAAAATAAGTAACTGTGACCTTCCGAAGCCAGGTTCATCGTCCAGGGCTTTATTCATCATCTTCAGTTATGCCGCGTACATACTGTTCGTTACAGCAGCCAATCATCCGTCCATGAGCGGAGTAGGTAGAAACGCAGTAGGGGTAGTAGCTGATACGGTTGACACAAATAAAGGAATGATAGTGGGCTTTTCATGGGGGAAGTGGGGAGGGAAAGCTCTACACTGAAGACAATCGTTTGTATGCATGCGCGCCATTGAGCACATGACTGTGCCGTGTCTGACAATATCCCTAACCACTGGCATATGCTGTCTCGAGGTCCCCACCCAGGGAGATAGCAACCAGCCCAGTGACCCTGATAATAACACCGTTCCGGTGCCTAGCTGCCACGCCACCCGAAGGAGCACTAGGGCAAAGGAATGATAGTGGGCTTTTCATGGGGGAAGTGGGGAGGGAAAGCTCTACACTGAAGACAATCGTTTGTATGCATGCGCGCCATTGAGCACATGACTGTGCCGTGTCTGACAATATCCCTAACCACTGGCATATGCTGTCTCGAGGTCCCCACCCAGGGAGATAGCAACCAGCCCAGTGACCCTGATAATAACACCGTTCCGGTGCCTAGCTGCCACGCCACCCGAAGGAAGCACTAGGGCTGGGATACTGCCAGGTTGCCCAAGCCTAGACAGAAGTGGTCGGGTTCGAACCAGGAGCCTTCCCGTCATCAAGTTTGCACTCTAACTACTGAGCCATCTCTCCAGTGACTTCGACACTTCGCAGCCATTGCATGACCACCCATAGCTCGTATTCACCCTCCGCGCAGTTGTGCTTCACGGGCTATACGAGGAAGCCGGTCGACTGGCATACAGAGGACGTGACCAAACCAGCGCAACCTCAGAGTGTGACCAGCTCATCTAGCTTGAGGGAGTTATTGCCTCCGAAAACCATTCAACGCACTCAGCATTCCTGGTCCGATGTTCCCATTGGACTCGGACAGTGCTCCGAAGACACCAACGTCCAACAATGAAAGTTTTTAACGTCCAAAGCTCAGTGACCGGGTTTCTAACCCATATAATTTGGAGTGCACCACAGCACTGTAAGCTCCAGCCTCTACGGATAAACTGGATGCATATAGGTACCACATGTGATGCCAGTAGCAAAAGTTGCACCAACTTCTTCCACATGGATGGATATATCGTATTTGGTTAAACGACAGGGAGAGATACAGCTACCGAGGTAGACAAATTCGTCTGTTACCTCAATCGGATCGTCCGTAAGCATAGAGTTGGGGTGTGAACCAACCCAGTTCTGCAGTAGCACTCCACTTTTCGGGCGTCAAGTACATACCAAACCATCAAGCCGAGTTAATTAGATTATTTGATATCGTCTGATACAAGGGGAGCTATGCTGTCAGTGTAATCTATATCCGTGTGGGAACGCCCTATGAGCGTTTCGACCCCGCAGATAGTAGAGGCAGGGAGTAAGTGTTCCAAAATCATGTCATGACAAAGTTGAAGGGGAAACAGAACATCCTTGCCTAACACACTGGATGCAGTGAACTCAGGTTAGAACTTCTCATAGCCCTTCGTGCGTACACGGGAGTAGGCGTACGAAACTTCAAGTAGGACCAAGAATCTATGAATGACACCTTTGCTTCATGAATACTGCCATAGTGTCCAGCAGCCCACGGAATTAACGGAAGCGGTGTCACTATCGGTGGGTGAAAATGTGGCAGTCGCATCCTCGTTCAGGACGGAATCTAGCCTGGTTTTCATCGAACCGTCCCTCACTGCGTTCAGCTAGGCTTCCAAAGATGAAACCAGAAAACACTTTCAACGGCAAGGCTACCGGGATAATGCCACGGTGGTTCTCAGTGTTCGTGTACCTTTTTTGAAGACGGGAGTGACTGTCGATATGCCTCATCCAGTAGGCAGTTTCGATTCCCCCCACATAAAGCTGATTTGTTTTGCCGGATAGAAATCGACCAGTCCTGGTGCCTTGTCATGTTTCAGTAGAGAGAGTTCATAATTTATTTATTCTTCTGACGGGTGGCTAAATCTTATATTCTATTCGAGCGCATGCAATCACAAGGGATCAACCAAATTGTCCTTCTAAGTATTCGGCCCATCTTCTAAGTTGCCGTTATTGCGAGTGGATTAGTGAGTCGTCTTCACTCATCGTTTCACCACAGTTGCTTTGTTTTGGCCAGTAGACTGTATTAAGTGGTATAAGAAACGGTTGTTTCCAGTAGCAAAGGTGTTCCCCACATGTGGTTTCATTTTCCACCGAAGTCCTCAGTATTTCCTTAGATGCTTCACTATCTGGTGTTTTGGGGATGTGTGTGCGCCATTGCCCGCTGGTATGCATACCCTAGCATCAATCAAGCCTAGTGTTCTCGATGGGATCCAGTGGTCATTGGATCGTACCAGAGAAGTCGGACACACAGCAATGAACGACGCCAGCATATCTCCTTCGACAGTTTGTCATACTTGTCATGCCCGCTCCCAGTAGCGTTATTTTACTGCAGAGGGCAGTTGAACTAGCTCAGATTCATAATGATGTGTTATGGTGGTCATCCGGAGATGGGTCGGCACGCTTCTTGCTCAATTGGAAGGTTTGAAGAAAGGTTAATTATCAGGCGTGCACGGGCCCAATCCGTGGCACAGAAGGAGCCACGAACTTGAATTGTGGCACTTCACCGGTGGTCCAATTGGATCCTTGGTTGGTTCGCACTTAGTGACCACCAGATTACATGATACGAGCGTTTATACAGAAAACTGGTGCTGGCCATAAATAGCTCATAACCAGCACACAACTGAAGGAATCTACCTCCGCTCTGTGCGGAGTGCATCAAATCCGAATCAGCAACCCAGATGTGATTCCAAGAAGCTCAAACAAACGACTTATGTATGATAATGCCGATTTTTTTTGCTTGACGAATGAACACGGATAAACCTCGATAGAAAGTGCTCTTCTCTGTAGACTATTAAGG